CCCATTTCACAGCTGGGCAAACTGAGACACAAAGTGCTTTGAGCTCTCCTGTCAAAACACTATATACGAGCTGGGAATCAGACCCATTGCTGATACAGGACAATCCCTGGTATTGTTTGACAATTGGAGTCACTACTCCATGGTGTGATAGTGACAGCCAGGTTAGTTTGGTCTTCTTCCCCAAAACAGAGTCCTCTGCTTTCCCTGCCGTTTTTTACAGCCGACGAGATTTAGTAATTAACTTTTATTACAATCATAATTTTTTATTAACTTTGAGGAAAAATTGTTTCCCGCGTTATCATTCTTCCACAGAGTTCCAGATCAGCAACCCACAGCCACCCTTGCTAAATTGAACTTCCTCCTTTCAATATTTCACTGGCAGTAAATCCAGCCATGCTCCCTCGTCTTGCTTAAAAAGCCATGAAATTCCCTTGCATTATCAGCGAAATAACCACAGCCGAGAAATGCATTAAATGGAGATTGAAACTCCAGCTCTGACACATTTGTGTTGCCTGAATCAAGACAATCAGCTATGGACACCAAAGGAATTAGGAAATTGCAACTCTCAGTGAAACAGCCATTAACTTTCCTCTTATGGAAAGTGAGTTAGACACAAATAGGCTATTTTTCCTTGTTGTTTGTCCACTATATTTAATATCTGCTCAGTCTCTTGGAAGCACTGGGGGTTTATTAGCCACAGTAAAAAAAATTCTGCTTTCTTCACTAGCTCTGTAGACTCAAATGGTAAAGAGAGGCCACCAGCAGAGTCCGTTCCACTCAGTGCTGCAATCCTGTCAAATGTTGAAAACTGCTGTTGCATCACGGCTAGTTTTGTTATGCTCAGGTTCTTCTCCCAGGCCCCTCACAGTGGTATCAGGGCACCTTCCAGCAACGTATTATGCGACATGACTAACATTTGTTCGTTCTTCCATCCTAACCCACAGAGTTGGGGAGAGAACAGCCTGTTGCTATGTTTTATGCATTGAAGTCTGCTGTGTTCTGTGCTATATTATTAAAGGCCAGGTGAAAGGAAGTGCAGTGTGCAGTGGATGAGGAGGTGCTGAGGGTTGTGGCAGTTCTTTGATCTAACTGGTTAGAGCTGGTTTCTTTCACAGAAAATTTCAACTTTTTGACTGGAAGTTTCCAGTTTTTGAGTTTTTGGTTTGTCTATGAAAAGTCAAAGTTCTCCCTGGAAAGCGGATACTTTTTTTAAAGTCAAAAGCCCAATTTTCCATCCAAAAATAGTTTTGATGGAAGTTTTTTGACCAGCCCTCTTATTTGTTTTACAGAGGTGTCTAGAAGTCCCAACTGAGCTCAGGGCCCCATTGTGCTGGGTGCTGTCCAGGAAGACAATAAGACGCAGCCAGAGACCTTACAGTCTAGATACACATGGGGTGGGAGGGAAAACGGAGGTACAGAGATGGGCACTCGTTTGCACAGAGACACTCAGGAAATCAGGGCCCAAGCTCGAAAATGGAACCCACATTTCTTGCATCCCAAGTCAGCACCTTAACCACAAGCCCACCCTTTGTTTCCCTTCAATCTCGTCACTGCACATCTGCCCTCTCTTACCGTCTTCTCCTCTACCCTACCCCTCCTCGCCTCTTTCTCTTACTCTCTCTAATCTTTCTACTCTCTTTCTCTAATCTCTCTAATCTTTCTACTGAGCGGATCTCTTCCTAACTAAAGTCACCCAAAACAACAACAAAAATGGTGGCATTTGCTACAATCATATTGTTCACTCTGCTTGTGCATACTACACCTTCCCCCATTCTGTGTCTGGCTGGTCTATTTAGGTTGTAAGCGCTTTGGGGCAGGGGCCCTCACTGTTTAGTGCTTAATACAATGGGCCCCATTCTTAGCTGATGCTTAGGCACTACCCCAATAAACACGATTAATAATAAATACTATCACTACTACTCCGTTTCCAGTGGAAAATTCTGATGGGGTGGGTGGATTCTTGTTCATCACCAATTTTCAGATGAGCTGTTCAATGTGCCTCTGTGCATTACCGGAACGTCTTTACTTTCTGCTGTTGTTTGTGCTGCATAAATAATCTCCGGATATTTGCATCTCTCTCTCTCTCTTTTTTTAAACACATTTATGATGACATTAAATTAAATTGCATTGTAATGTCTGATAAATGTGTTTTGGGTATTTTTTTTTTACCCACAGAGATTGTCAAGTACTTTCTTATGTTCTGTAGTTGATGGCTGTTTTTTTTCCCTTCCAAAGTGCATTTTATCAACAGAATGAAATTAGATACCTGTCAAAATACATTGGTCCTCAAAATAGCTATTCATACATTTCATATTTCTGCATAAATAGGTATTCATCTGCTCTCTTCTGCCTGTCATTTGGCGCTCACATTCCGGCACCAACAGTGGGAGGGGAATATCGAAAGACACTTTCAAAGCAATAAGCAGGCAATGCTTATATCATTTCCTCTGGTTTCCTTAGCAGCACTCACTTTATTACCAAAGAGAAGGGAAACATCTATTTAAAATCAATCCAATAATATTGTGTTCCAAAACATTAATTCCTGGCTGCAGAACCCTGTTTGGTTTCAAGCAAGCTCTCCGTCAAATCAACAGCTGCTGTGAGTTCACATTTCCAGGCGCCGCAGAACTGCTGCTTGCAATCTGGGTGTGTGAGAGGGGGGGAGGGCGGGGGGAGTCTAAGATGCAGTCCCAGGAAGGAAGGACTGTTCAGGGGAGTGAGGCAGCGTTAGATGGCCGTTTAATAAGGGTTGGATGGAAGGTCAGTTGCAATCAATATATTCCAAGGGCTGACCACATCCTAGCAAAGGAAAAGGAAGAAGTGGATGCCTCAGCTGGAACAAAGAGCTACAACGTGGGCCTGGCATGGGACAAGTGCTGTATAAATGGGGATAAGTAAGGAATGGGCCTGACTCTCACTGACAGTAAGGCCCTTTGTGCAGCAACAAGAGGGTGGAAATGGGCTCCTGAAAATAGCCCACGGTAAGTGGCCTTCCTGGTAGGCACTGAGCTAGCTTAAGGGGCCTGTGCCAGCCTTGTTCCCAGCCCTAGTGGTAGGTAGGGTGTTGGGGGGAGAAGGAGGTGGGTCAAAGGCAAGGAGGGGGTTTGGCCAGCGCACGCTACCTGTACAGCAGAGCGTAAGTTAGAGCAGCACCCAGGCTGCTCTAATTGATATTGGGGGCTGGGCAGTTCCCAGTTTGCTCCAGGACACCCTGTTGGCTTAAAGCCACCTTTGCCTCTCTGCTCCTGCACCAAGTGCTGAACAGAGTACCTGGGAACTGGGCCCAGTGTTCACAGCAAGTCAGCAGCACAGCTGGGACTAGAACCCAGGAGTCCCGGCTCTCAGTGCCCGAGCCTGCATCCTGACATGCTCTGTACAGCCTTATTGCTCTTAAAACACGTGTGCAGTTTATAGGTCAAACCAAACACCAAAAACTCCACCCAGAAACCAGCCAGCGGATATTGTGTCCCAGTGCAGCTGTGCACTACCTGCCCTCAGGCGAGATGAGAGGGGAGATATTGCATGCAAAGCTGCTGGTTTCTGGATGTATTTTTAGTTTGACCAAACCCAGGAAAACATGGGGATTTCGTAAGAAAAACACTTCCCAGCAAGGGTTTAGAGCCACTGGGAGTTAGACATCAGTGGACTTAGGGTCCAGCCTTAACTGATCACTGGTCTGGATACAAACTGGTTAAACTTCCATTCCCAGCCTCTGTGCATCCTGAAGCTTTTCCCTTCACTACTTAGTATGAGCCAAACAGCTAGTATCAGGGCTCCTCAGAAGGAAAGGAACAGATCACTTGCACATGTTCCTGAGCAGTATTGACTGCATTTTAATTTGTTGATTACTACACAGCACGAGTTATTGCAAATACAATGTCATCTCTTGTCAAATCTGCCTGTCTGTGATGAATGTTAATCTGAAAATTTTGCAGACAAAAGCACATTTTGACCAACAGGAAGCCCGTGCATTTCAATCATCGTGGAACCAACGGCACTAATTAGCATGTGAATTTTTCAAAGCCCTTGTTCCAGAAATGATGCAGACTGGTCCAGCGAAGTAAATACCAAAGCCATTTCTCACTGAATGAAGGAAAGTGTCGCTCTTGTCTCAAAATCATGGTGTCAAAAATATCCTTTCTGTTCATATGAGAGAGATTGTGTGTATGTGAGAGAGTATCCCGGACCCATACGGTCAATCTTCAGGCATTGCTTTGCTGTTGGACCTGACAAAAACTGAGGTTGAAAAGCCACTCAATGGAGCCCGAGTCCTGTCCCTGGATGCCTGTGGCTAGTCTCCTAGTAGGCTGTAGTGAAGGCCTCTTCTCTCTGGGGCATAGACTGAGTATCTGCTTCTCCAATGCCTTGTGTAATCAGCAGGACCCGTGCAAAGGAGGTGTAAAATTAACAAATGAGAATGGATGCATGTGCCAAATGGGGCTTGGGCTGGGGAAGGAGAGCTCCATCCTAGTGCCACACAGGATACGAAATACAGCTTCCTAATGCAGTTCTGAGATCCCCTTGTTTGGTAATGGCTCCAAGCTCCATCCAGTGCAGGAGCAAACATCCATCCATCCCCACCATGACGTCTCTCCTTAATGGTGTTTCATCCAGGACCTCTTAAGGGTAAACTAATTTGTTAACCTCTTCCTAGGAGTCTCAGTGAGCTAATGAGATTCTGAACTGCTGGATTAATGAACTAATTTAGGTAATGACTATTGTCCATTAAAATACCTTTACAATCCACTTCACATCCAAATTTAGGAACATTCCAGGCTGCTGTAGTTTCAGCCTGGCTCCTTTGCATCCCCAGCATTGGGTCGATTGGCCTGCTTTAGATCAAGTTAAGTGGCTCGCCAAAGTTAAAGGGCCGGAGAGTGAGTGATAAGGAGGGGGCGGCCTTGGGGAGGGTTTCTGTCTCCTGGCCTGAGTCATGACAACACTGTTCATATGACAACATGAACATGTCCAAAGATGAGGAGGAGGTGCCTCAACCATGTTTTCACTCAGTGGCTGCTCTCCATTCCTAGGCAGCCCGGTCTGATTAAAAAGCGATCTCAAATAGCTGCAGCATGGATCATGATTGAAACCCCGCGGAACTGATCCTGAATATAAAGGATTCAGTATCACGACGCTTGGGAGCTCTGAAGATGAAAAGCACTAGACTGATTTATTCATAGACATCCCGATGGCGCTCCTGGCTCTGGTATGAGTATATAGCTAATGACGATTACTGTTATTTTATTGTTATCTATTTATTATGATCACAGGGAACAGACGGCACCAGCAGAAGCAACCAGCAGCTTTGATTCAGATGTGCTGCTGCTGCAGGGGAAGGCAGAGCAACCAAGCAATGGCAATGGGGAAAGTGCAAACCAGCCCGGACTATGATTGGAAATGCGTTTCTGCCGAGGCAGTCAGGGCCAGCTTCTCAAAGGGGCTCAGCCCTGGAGAATAAGGGGATCCTGCTGGGTATGGAGCGCGTGGGAAATCTAGCCACTTTGTTTCTATGCTGAACTGGGAGCTGAGCTTCCTGGAAAATCGGAAGCCAGTTGTGGGTGCTGAGCGTTTCTGAAAATCTGCCTGTTGGTCATTGCAGCAGGACTATTAACTAATGTAAGGCTTTTCTGCACACAAAAAACTAAACCACGCCAGCTACAGCAGTACAACCCCCCTAGCATGGATACGTTATACTAGTATCAAGGTGTTGATACTAGTATAGCTTCCCCTTACGGGAAACAGAATACGTTTTTCTGGTGTAAGGCACCTTTGTACCAATATATCCGCCCGAGGGTCATCCGGTATAGCTATATCAATAACAAATCACCCCCCATCCAACATAGTTATATGGTTCCAAATCTGTGTGTAGATCAGAGCTTACACTCCCTTTCCTTCTTCCCAGAAAGGCATGATGTGAAAGAGAAGAATGTAAATGATCCCTGGTTTTGACCCTTCTAAGCATAATTTTAATCATGCAAAGCGTTCCACGCACAGAACTGCATTTGCTTCTCTGCCTGGCTGTGAAAGCGGCCGTGGCCTTCAGAGGTGCCATTGGGGAGGTGCTGGATCTAGCGCATGGCAAAGCAACACCTGGCCGAAACGGCAGCCAGTGGCTTTGCGTCACAGGCAGCTGGTTCAGCATCACCAAACAGCGAGTCGGAGAGACTGTGATTGGAGGAGACAGAGCATCTCGATGCACTGAGCGCGTCAGCTTCACACACGGGCCCCCCAGGTGCTGCTGCTCCTGTAATTATTTTCTCAATAATTCAAAGAGCAATGAAGGAGGCCATCAATCACTTTTACATTAACACATTTCAGAGGGCTGCAAGGGGAGAATAAAATGGATCGCAGGGCCCTCCTCGGCCTTGCTCACATCCATGCAAATGGGTTAGGAGGAACTGCAGCAAGGCATCTAAAGGATGCAATGTGAGCTGAGCCAGCTGGGGTGGGGGGAAGGAAAAGAGCCAGCAAGCTCAGGGCCCAGAGAGACCTGGTCTAAGGCAAGCAAAGAGCTTGGCGCAACTGAGACACCCAGCTGCTGGAAAATATTAGAGAGCGAAAACTAGGCCTGGGGGAATTCTCTGAGTTTGGGTTCGGTTTGGAGAAGCAGCCATTGTTATAATTATTTATTATTTATATTTAACCCCCGTCTAAGCTCAGGGACCCATTATGCTAAGCACTTAGCAGAAACATAGTGGAAGGCAAAGCCTGCTCCAAAGAGCTTACAATCTAACCAGACAAAGGGTGGAAGAACAATGGGGAGCTGAGGTCACAGAGATTAAGTGACATGTCCAAGGTCACAAAGGAGTCTGTGGCAGAGTCAAGCGCTGAACCTGGGTCTCCTAAATTGGTGCCCTAACCACAGGACCAAAAATTCAGCTGTTTGTCAGAGTCGCCCTAAGCCCCACATGTCTGGGGCTGTGTGCGCAGAATTTCTCAGGAGAATTAATGTCAGAAGGACTGTGTTATTCCCAAACCTTAGCTTTAGGCCTATCAATGTTTAAAACAAAATAATAATAATACATTATTTATTAGAGGGTAGGGACCCGGTCTTCTTATCTGTCTGCAAAGTGCCACCTACACCCATGGTGCTATATAAATAATAAAATACAGCAAACTGGAAAGGAAACCAGGCTCTTCCACGCTCTTTTTTATAGCAAAAGCTGCTGTTTTGGCCCTTGCTAGCAAACGCCTCCCCCTCCTACAGCTGCAAGCAATTTTGGGTTTGAGTTAAACCTGACAGTGATGCTGGATTTAATGGGCTGTCACAGCTCTTCTCTTGTTATCTTCTTCTCCAGCTTTGATAACTTGGCCATAAGCACATGCCCTAGATTGAAGCTGTGCCCAGCAGGAAATTGACAAGATTCTAGGTTTTCCAACAGGATCGGATCAGCAGTTTAGTTTTTAAGCTAAAAGAATGCCGAGAGGTGCAACAGTTGGAATCTACCGTTCAGAAAAATAGCTTGAAGCAACAGACCAGGAGCCCCGTGTTCTCTGCATGCTGTTGCATTCAGCATGGAAGACGCACCATCAGCAACTGAAGGGACAAATCAATTATGGCTTGATCCAAAGCCCATTGAAGTCCATGAGGATCTTTTCTAATGGGCTTTGGATCAGGCCCTCCCCCCCTCGTGGGGTCCCAGAGCCCGGGTCCAGCCCGAGCCCGAACATCTACATTGCAGTTTTATAACCGCATCTCCACCTACAAGCCACCCTTGCAATGGTGCTCCTGTGGGACAATGCAGATGACAAAGCCCAGACTGAGACAAACGACTAACTCCACTGGCTGTGAAAGAAGCAGGCTGTGATCCAATACGTGGGTCAGTGACTAGACGGGGACATGACACAGTGCGTTACACATCCATCTCTCTAGGGTCTTACCTTGGCCCCCTGCGCTCAGCAGTGGAAGGTGGAACTGGATCTACTTGTGTCTGGTCCAACACCTCACTGGCCCTCTCTTTTTAAGGAGCTCTGTCTCGGGTCCGAGCGTCAGTGGTTGAGCTGCCCTCTCCTAGGTGAAGGAGAAATCTCCCTTCTATTCATTAGCTGTGGGGGTGGGGGAGAGACAAAGGGGTGCTGTTTTTTCCTAGAGTACCATGAATTTTTAAATTCCATGTGCAGACCTTTCAGAAATTGACCGTGCACTCAGGACATCTGGCCAGAAAGATAGTTATACTTTTAAAACAAAAGTAAACATGGGTCTGATGGTGGATTTTGTATAGTTTGGACACAAAAAGCAAAAGAAATCCACCCAGCGAGAGCACTGTGAAGGCTCACAGATGTAAAACTGCTATGAGAGAGCTGGTCAGAGCTGCAAAGCTCCCCATTCCAGCCATGCTATTGCTTGTGTCAGTGCAGATCAGTGCAACCGGCGTCACATCCGCATTGATACATGACAGAGCGTGGGCTGCTCTGAATTCGCTGGAGTGACTGTAGGGAGAGGGCTCGAGCTCAGAAGCTCCCAGCCACTGGAATCAGGCAGCACGGTTGAGATCACAGGAGCCCCAAAGAAACGGTGCTGATTATAGAGAACTCCCAATAATTAATTTCACATGACTGAGTTCCATGCGCAAATGCCTTATCCCTAAAACGACCCCAAGGATGTAGGCAGACAGGCACTGTCCACAGGAATCAGGGTGAAAAACCAGACTCTACATCATATCTAAATACCCAAACCCTCCAAGCCCCAGCTGCAGGGTGAATCTCTAAACAGTGGGCGAGGTTGACTACCACCTTAACCAGAAGCACTGACGCTATGAGTACTGGCTCTTGAATTCCCAGACAAAGCTGTGGAGAGGCATTGTGGCAGCATGGCTGTTTGAACTTTATCTTTAGTTACCAGGTCTGTGAAATGAAACTCCCTCCTGCCTCCTCCCAGCCAGTGGCCCAGCTGTCAGCCCCAAAGCACGCTCCAGATTCCTCCCTGCTGCCCATGTTTGTCACAACTGCTTCCATCTGGGATGGAGCATAGAGACAGCACCTGAGAGGGGGAGATAAGGCAATATGCAGCTGCTGAAGCCCATGGAAGCCTAGGGACAGATTTCAGCAGAGACTGGAGACTTGAGAGAGAAGAGGTTTCATCAGGAGAAAGCTGCTTTGTTCCTGAACCTCTTGGCCCTGCAGAGAACCCTCCCTCTTCTCCAGCAGCTCTGATCTCGCTCTGCAGCTCTCCATCGCAGACAAAAAAGCTGGATGTTTCCAATACGGTTCAGGGAATTTGGAAGAATTCAAGTGTCTATTCCTGGCTGCATTGCCTCGGAAATCCCCCCTTGCAAATCAACCCTTAAGAAATCCACATTCAGGGCCGAGCTGGTGTCATTCAGCACAGCTCCATCGTCTCCAATGGGGTGAAGCCAGTTTACATCAGCTGCAGACTGGTGTCTGTGTAAACAAGAGCTTTGACCTAGGATGTTAACCAAATGCAACTTCTTGGAGGAGCTGGGGGCAGATGGCTCTGACAGCAGCCCAGCCCCGTACTGTGATGGTTCTGCTGATCACATGAATCTTTATTTAACATCTCCAGGAGCAAAGCCTTCTGGGGAAACATCTGAAATTCAGCCCCGTTCCCAAGAAGCAGCATGTCTACACCACCTACTTTGCAGGGCACGGTCTGGATTCTGC